TGTTATGCATATTTTACCAAAATTAAAAAATAAATTGAAAAAATACGCATCTTTGAAAAAATTAACAAAATTGACAAACCTCTAGCTACACTCACCAAGAAATAGAGAAGACTATTACCCGTAATTGGAATAAAAGAGAGGACATTATTACAGACACTAAAGACATTGAAAGAATAATAAGGAAGCTGCACAAACTATTCTATGCCTATAAATTTAACAACTTAGATAAAATGGACAAATTCCTTGAAAAACATACTGCCAAAGCTCATTCAAAAAAAAATAGGAAACTTTCTTAATCTGATGAAGGTCACCCCTAAAATACCAACAGCAACCTCATCCTTAATGGTGAAAGACTCAATATTTCTCTGCAATTAGGAACAAGGCAAGGCTATTTTTTTTAATTCAACATCATACTAAAGGTCATAGCCTGCAATAACGCAAGAAAACGAAACAAAAGGAAATAAATAAAACTGTCTCTATTCACAGATGGCATGATTATCTACCTAGAAATTCACAAAGAATTTACAACAAACCTGTTAGAACTAGTAAGTGAGTTTAGGTCAGGATACAAGATCAATAGACAAAAATTAATTGTATTTTTATTTATTAGCAATAAACATTTGAAGATTGAATATTTTAAAAATACAATTTAAATAGCACACACACACAAAATAACCCCCCAAAATTCTTATGTACAAATCTAAAAAAATATATGCAAGTCTGTATGCTGAAAACTACAAAATCCTGATGAAAGAAATTGACAAAGACCTAAATAAATGGCCAGACATACTCTTTTTATGGATTGGAAGACTCAAGATTGTTAAGGTATCCATTCTCCCCAAACTTATCTACAGATTCAACACCAATCCAATCAAAATACTTACAGAATTTGTAGAAATCAACAAGCTAATTCTAAACTTTATATGTAAAAGCAAATGAACTAGAATAGCCAAAGCGATTTTGAAGAACAACAAAGTGGGAAGACCCACACTATCTGATTTCAAGACTTCACTGTAAATCTACAGTAATCAAGACAAAGAGGAGAAGCCAGGCATGGTGGAGCGCACCTGTAGCCCCAGCTGCAGGAGGTTGAGGTGGAAGGATCTCTTGAGCCCAGGAGTTGGAGATCAGCCTGGGCAACACCCCACCTCCAAAAAAAAAAGTAGTGAAGAAAGAACAGACATACAGATGTGTGAAACAGAATAGAGGTAAGAAATAGACTATTCATCTATGGGAATTGATTTTCAACAAATGTGGAAAGAGGCAATTAAATGGAGAAAGGATAGTTTTTTTCAATGAATAGTCATGGAACGGTTAGCTATCCATATGCAAAGAACTAATTATACAAAGAACTAACTCAAAATAGATCCTGGACCTAAAAATAAAAATTCTCTATAAGAAAACTTATGAGGAAATCTTCTTTTCTGCAAAGTGCTTTTCTGCAAAGCCCTCTTGGCTTTGCGAGGTAGGTAGAAATGTGACAATCAATGAGCTCCAAAATGAAGGTGGCTAGCACAGTGCCTGCTCTTGTAAATACTGAGCCTTTTGTCACTTTCCTACACCCCCCCCACTGATCCCAAAATAACTCACCACAGCCTATTTTACAAAAGCCAAGAAAAGTATCAAGTGAGCATGAATACACCGAATAGAATTTTCTTTAGGCTATTTATTTTCCACCAGAAATGAAGGCAGTTCTGTCATCTGTTTAGTGCTTTGAAAACATACGATTGCTCTTAATCAGCTACACAAATTGCCCACACTCCAAGCTGTTGAAATCAAATACAAGCTTCAAATATCTGTGACTGAACTTTATTGAAAACTCTGTGGAGTATAGTTCAAAAATCACACTCTTCATTCCTTTCTTTAGTATCATTTACCAGGTCAAGATAGCTCATATGTGAACTGGATAAAGAAACTCATAGTGGCCTGGTGTGGTGGCTCACGCCTGTAATCCTAGCATTTTGGGAAGCTGAAGCAGGAGGATTGCTTAAGGCCAGGAGTTTGAGAGCCTGAGCAAGAGCAAGACATTGTCTCTACAAAAAAAATAGAAAAATCAATCGAATGCGGTGATGGCACATACCTATAGTCCCAGCTAGGGGAGACTGAACCAGGAGGATCGGTTCAGCCCAGGAGTTCAATGTTACAGTGAGCTATGATGCCACTGAACTCCATCCTAGGTGACAAAGAGAGACACTGTCTGAAAAAAAGAAAAGAAATTCATGGTTTTGACTACAGGGATTGTCTTCACTGTGCTTTGGTGTCATGCTTCCATGCCTCCATGAAGCAACTTTAGGAAATCCATTATTACTTTTGGTGAAGGGATGTTGTTGAGTACACTGTAAGCTTGAGTTTCATTTTTTTTTCCTTTTTTATAGTGTGTATTAATTCACTGAGCCACCTCGAATTTCTTGGGCAAGTATATGGAGTCCAAATACAACGAAAGATCTCGGTGCTGTAATCTTCTCTGAAGAGCTGCTGCAATAATGCAAATCTTCCACTAAGAGGCGGTAGGGCACTACTGATAAAAAATACTGCCGGTTAAACGAACATTTATAAATTGTACAATTATTTCTAAATTAGAATATTTATTATTTTAATGTTTTCCACTATGTGCAAAAGGCATACATAATTAAAAGATATCATTTGAATATATGGCATAATTTAGAAGAAGAATGTAAATTTTAAAAATTATCCCCTACATTTTAGCAGCAATTTAAACAGACCTAATAAAGTCAGTTGGAACTCAAGGGAATTTTCCTAAATAGAAGGCTGAAGATTTTTAAGTATAAAGAAGCATTAGAAGTAGACAGTGTGTAATAATCATTTTAAAGATAATTCTATTGCTTGCTTCCTTTTTTTTTTTTTTTTGAGACAGAGTCTCACTCTGTTGCCCGGGGCTAGAGGAGTGCCGAGGTATCAGCCTAGCTCACAGCAACCTCAAACTCCTGGGCTCAAATGATCCTCCTGCCTCAGCCTTCCAAGTAGCTGAGACTACAGCCATGTGCCACCATGCCCGGCTAATTTTTTCTATATATTTTTAGTTGGCCAATGAATTTCTTTCTGTTTTTAGTAGAGACGGGGTCTCGCTCTTGCTCAGGCTGGTTTCGAACTTCTGACCTTGAGTGATCCTCCCGCCTCAGCCTTCCAGAGTGCTGGGATTACAGGCATGAGCTACCACTCCCGGCCAGCTTGCTTCTTTTCTAGGTGCCCTTCAAGGAAGACAGAACTGTATTTTATTCACTAAATCTATTTGGCATTTGCTTTTTAGACTTTCATCATGGACCACACTCAAAGATCATGCCTACGACCGTGGTATATATCACGGTAGCCAAAGGCCCGTGGTAGCCAAAGAGCAGTTTCCACAAAGTGGCCCAGTCCCCCCTGAGCCTGGAAAAGGTGTGTGAAGGAGACACAGCACCGTCAGGTACCCTGGGAGAAACAAAGCAGCTGGGAGTGTCAAAGCTTCTCTGAGAAGGAGAAAAAGAGAGGAAGAACCAGCAGGTGCTATGATGAATTTTGTAAGAATTGGTGACACCATAGAACTAGGATCTAACTAACACCTGCTAGAGCAAAGCATGATTTCCCCTGCTATGTGATTATAGGCAAAATAACAGTTAGATTTTGAATGTAAGAAAAGAATACTAACTTTGCTCCTATTTCTCTCCTGAGCAATTGGGGTCAGGCGGAGACAGTGCTTGGAGATGCTTTGGGGGTGCCCAGGAGCAACAGGTAAGACAGAGGAGCTGATGAGAAAAGGGGGGTCCTCTCCTGGCCTCTCCAGTAGGGACGGACCATCAACAGGAGGCAGCTGTGGCTCCCAGGGGTCCCGAGGTCTCTGGCCTGCAGGGCCAGGGCTTCTCAGGGTGCAGGTCCTCCTTGTGGGGGTGGGGATTGGTTTGGTTCTGTTTTGCTCTGGCAACTTTTATTGCAGTATAACGTACATAAAGCAAAGAACACAGATCATGAGTTGTACAGCTGAGAGATTTTTCCCCGAGGGACTACCCCATGCCCAGAACAAGAAAGGGTCGTATCAAAACCTCTGACACTCCCTCCTGCACATGCTCCTAACTTCTGAGTCCATAGACTGGTTTGCTGGGTACTGGCTTTATACGAATGAGTCATACACAGGAGCTCTTCTCTGCCGGCTCCTTTCACTCATCGCGTGTTTGTGGGATTTATCCGTGTTGTTGCAGGAAGTTGTGGTATGTTCACCCTCTGTGTATAGGACAGTTATGTGCCGCGTAGTGGTGTTTCATTCAGCAATGGACTGCATATACGACAGTGGCCCGCAAGAGTATAATACCGTATTTTCACCTTTTCTATGTTTAGATACACAAAGACTCACCTTTGTGATACAATTGCCACGGTAACATGCTGCATAGGTGTGTCGCCTCAGAGCAACAGGCCACAGCCGACAGCCGAGGTGTGACGTGGGCTCTGCCACCCCGGCTTGTGTGAGCGCACGCTGATGCCAGCACAGCAATGAACTCGCCCGACAACACTGTTCTCAGAACATGTCCCCATCATTAAGACACACACGACTATGTTTCATTGTATGAATAAACCATTAATGTATCCGTTCTATGTAGATGGAAGCTTGCATAGTTCGGGGCTGATGTGAACATACTTGTTCTTTCTTCTGGTGGACATAGGTATGCATTTCTGTTGGGTATACCTAGAAGTAGAATTCTGGGTGATATCTGGTCACATATTCAGCTTTAATATATACTGACAAATAAGTTTCCCACAATATTGGTGTCAATTTACAGTGTATAAATGCACTGCTGATATTTAATATTATTGAAATAATTTATTATTTTATAATAAAAATAATTATAATTATTCAAATAACTAAATGTTTCAAATATTCAGATAATAAAATAAATATTTAAATTGTTTATTTAAATAATTACATGTTTGGGTTATTGGGTTATATTCAAATAATTGAATGTAATTATTAACAATAATTATATTATATTAATATAATTTCTTAACAACTTGAAACTGCCCGTCTTTTTCATTTTATCCATTCTGATGGGTATATGGTGGTATTTCATTTTGGTTTTAATGTTTTTTCCCGTCCTTCGCCCATCTTTTTATTGAGTTGTCTGCCTTGAGCTCTTTACATTTACTGGATATTCTCCTCAAGTATTCTTATATAGATATAAGTGTTAACCAAGGTCTTAGAGCAGACAGATCCTCAGGGAGAAACTCCTATCAGATGAGCATCAGTGGCGGCTGGGCTTTCCTGGGCTGTGGGTTGGGAGAGAGCAGCAGGATCATCAGGATCCATCACTAGGATCAATTCCAGGAAGCAAAGGCAGAAGTTAAACTCAGTCCAAAGAATATGTGACTTTTTGTTTTACTGGACAACTTTCTGTAGCATCTTCTGAAGAAAGTGTTTGAAAGCAAGTTCTAGAATGGGGCATTCCTTCAAATTGTGATCTACATGATTGATTGGCGTTCCAAGGAAGGTTCATATACGGCTAATGATTTGCTATAAAATGAGCCCGACTGGACTCTAAACAGAATCTTGGCATTGTTTTCACTCTTTTGGAAGTAATAACATTGGTTCTGTTCACTCTCCACTCAGATTAATTTATAGAGAAATGTTTAATGTTGGCCTTGGTCACTCAAGACGTAGGGCTTTTCAGTTAACCCAGGCAAGACAGCCAGGAAGGCCAGAGCCCTTCTTAGCAGTGGTCCCTCTGACTAAGGTCACAATGTGTTGCAGCTCCTGGCCGGCCGTTGCAGGAGTGCTCCCGCCCGCAGCGCCAGCCCAGGGCACTTACGCACCGCTGGTGTCTGAAGGCCTCATCCCTCCTCAGAGGGTGAGCAGATTTCCAGAGGGCTGGAGCCCGAACCCTTAACAAGAAGCTGCGCCTGCTAGAAACCAGCCCCACACTTTTTTTGCATTATGTGTCTGATGTGACTTGTGATGACTGCTTGAAACAGCCACTTAAATCCATTTTCACATTACAAGAAAGGTCTGATTTCATAGGAAGGAAGAAAACTTTAAGTCAAGGCAGTGCAAAATCTCCAGCCATCCGGCAGCACTGAATATCAAACTGTTGGTGGCTCCCGGGCTGCAGAGGGCGGCTGCTGCGGTTCCATTTCCAACACAAGTTGGGCTTTGTCATCTCCAAGGTCACTCACTGCCCCAGGCTGCCTTGGAGGGCGCCTCCTAGACTCTTGCATTTCCTTTTTTTCTCAGTTTCAAAGACCAGTTGTTCCTTTCCAGCTTTACCTCTCCTCCTGCCACAGGACTGTAAACTCCGCTGGACATTGTTTTCTCACTATCCCATGCCTTCATGGGATGAAGCTAGTCCCTTCCAGGTTTTTAAGATTTCCTTTCCTTTTCTCCACCATGGTGCAATTATCTTCATCATCACCATTTATCATTTTTCCTTCATTAGAAAAAAAAGTGCCATTAAGTGTCTCAAGTACTTGAAGCTCTTTCCGGAATCCCGGGCCCACCATGCCCCCATGCAACAGCTCAGCCTTCTGGTCTTTTCCTGCTCGGCCCCACCCTGCCTGTCTTTGTGGGCTGTCGTGTTGCCATGGCAACCAGCAACCAGCCAAGGGAGGCATTCAGGGTGTGTTTGCTGGGACCTTGGGCGTTGGTCCAGCCAGCTGACCTCCCAGTAGCTGACATGAAGTGACCCCATTCAGTGTCCTCGTGGTCCTGGAAGGAATCTCCCAGCTCTGTTCTCTCTTTCTTGACACAGCTGCTTGTGGGAGTGAAGCTCATACCCAGGTGAAGGTCATAAGAAAGCTCTATGTATTTTCTCTGCAGAGAAATCAGGCATCACTCTGTCCTCACAGCAGATTTATTGGAAAGTCAAGAATGAATGTCTTTTAAGCTGAAATGATGGTCCCCACTGGGTCTTCGTGTCTTCATAAGGAGCCCAGCTGGGAGCAAAGAGAGAGGGACTCTAAAATTGGAGAGGAAAAAAACAGAGAGATTTTATATACCATTTGCAAATAGTTTTTTATTATATTTTCAGCATCTTGCTGTTCTTAAACTGTCTGAGTAGCTTCTGCTTGTCCTAGGGAAGGTTCCTATGGCACCCCGTGGAATTTCTCTCACAATTGCTTCTCTAGAAACGAGCTTGAACACAACATGGATGGATTCACAGCCGCTTGTAAACCACTTTGCACCAAAGGCTCTCAGGGGAGAGTCCCAGGAGAGCCAGCTCCACAGAGGGAGGGGAAAGGAAGGGCAACAGACCTGCAGAGGGGACTCGGGGAGGGGACTACCCTCAGCAGCCCATAGGGCTGGTCCTGGATGACTCAGCTTCTGCAGCAGCCGCCAGTCTGACTTCAAGATGAAATTTCCATTGATCAGACAGTTGTCTAGGGACCCACAGATCCGGACACTAAAGAAGGACTTATTCTCATGTAACTTCACCACTCGCAATGCCGATACTAATAACCACACTCAGATGGAAACTCGGCTTCCCCAGACTGTCTGTGAGAGAGAAGTGGCGACTGGAGACTGAGTGGTCCTCAGTGTCCACTGACCACGCCTGCAAAAGGACCTGAGCTCCAGCAGATTTAGATGTTTGTTCTAAGTCTGCCCCTTCCTTACTAACTATGAATCTGGAAAATTCCCTGGATTTCCTGAAGCCCCTTTTCCTCCCGTCTAGAAAATGAGACTGTGAGGGGACAGGAGATTATGTCTGGGGAGTCCAGAGACATGCAGGCTAGGAGAGTAAGAAATGGAACTTATAAGAAAAGCTCAGAGCTAACAGCTTAGCTTCTGTCCCCTCAGCTTGCTTGCTTACAGTATATAGCTTAAGTGAAGCCATGGCAGGCTTCAGCGGGTGCTGGGCCTCAAAAGGCGGCAACCGCAGGTCATTTCCTAATAAGAGGTTAAAAAGCCACGGGATGGGGGAGGGAGGGCCAAACTCCGGATGACTCTGCAGTAAAATGCTGAAATAAAACGCAGAGGGAAAGCCCTAATGCCAGAACCAATCAGCTGGTAAGAGGAACCAACCAGAAAAGAGATGAAATAAACTGCTAAAGGAGACTGCGGGAGGAGGGAGGGGGAAAACTTTAAGGGATACCCGTAACCCAAGCTGGGGTCCTTGTCGGAATAGAGGCCACTGCGATTGGCGCTCTGAGACTCGGACCCTAGCTCGAGCTAGTCAATAAAACTCCTTTTGATGATTTCAGCCTCAGTGACTCTGTCTCTTTGTTCTGTGGCACTGCGGTTTCCCACTCTAACAGGAGTCTTCCAGTTGTCTCTTTGGTGCCCAGAGAAAGGCCTGTTCCCAGGGCCAGGTGGCTCCAGGACGAGCTTGCAGCGTGGCCAGGTCTGAGTCTGCTGTGAGGAGCCTCTGAGTCCTCCCTCTGCACAGCCCAGCGCCTGGCCAGCTTCCTCCCCACCCTCCCTGCTGACCGGAAACCTCTTCTTGGAGAAATTGAGGCTTTCGAGGATTTATTATTGGCAATTTGGAAGTTCTTCAAAGCTGACACTGAGGTGTCAAAAGAGGGACAGCATGTGACCGTTGGATTGGAACAGGAGCCCCGTGTTCAGCTGTGACTGTTTCTGAGAGCCTCACTGGAGCGGTATGTCCCGACATGGGAGTGCCACTGAGTCCCAGAGAGCCCTGTGGGCCGGTCTCACCTGCCCTGCTACACAGAGAAGGAAACTCAGAACAGTCCACACCCAGTGAGAGAGCGCACGTCCCCTCCCAGCTCCACGGAAAGGCTGCTCATCCATCCGTGCTTTCCCCACTCTTCATCCTGTTTGGTATTTCCCACCCAGGTTTGGTTTTAGCACTTCATAAGCACTTCTGTTGAAGGTTAATCATGCTCTGCTTTGAATAGCTCTTCCCTCCCCTCAGAGACACCACCTGACTGCTGTCTCCGCAGGCCGGTTTTGCAGTTTCCTAATACTAGTCAAGACTAACTTCTGGAAAGAGGAGCCTTAAAAACAAAAACAAAAATAAAACTCAAACTTTCCTACCAAATGCCTGTTGCACATTCAGGTGGCCTCTCTGACCTGGGCTTCTGGCCGCCTGAGATTCTACAGGACTTCATGAATGAGTCTCTTGAATACCATGAGACACATGTACTCTAAGAAAAATCCCTCTGTGAAAATCTGCACCAAATAAAGTTGGTTCATCGTAATTATTACAAAGTGACGGTAATTTCCTTGCTTTACAAAATGATTCACTACCAAGTTGCTTTAAATAACAAGCTCTCTTTCTGTATTTTAAAGTAGATGAGCTAAATGAATTGAACCAATTTTCAGGAACATATTCATACCTATTTCAAGGTAAACCCAATTGGACCCTAGTTAGTTTGTGTTCGTTTCTTTATTTGTTCCTTTATTTGTCCATCCTGTTTTAGTGGTCAGTCGCACGGACTCTGGGGACAAGGCCCTGGGGGAAAGAAGGAGCACAAACTGAGCTTTGGGTTGTTAACGTTGACAGGACTGGAGAAAGAGACAAAGACTGAGAAGAGACAGAGGAGAAGAGAAGGAAGGAAGGAATGAGGCACGTGGATGGATACATAGATACATTTAAACTACAATCTTACAGAGTTATTCAAGAGTTGGTACTTCTCTATAATTCTAAGACAGGGAAAGAAAAGTCTGTATACTCGTACAAGCTTCATTGTCCTATTATAACTTGAGAATTTAGCATTAATTGCTATGAAGCAGTATAACTCACTTGTGAAAAATACAAATTGCACTACTGGTTTTTTTTTTTTTTGGCTAATGAATATGAATTGAAAAATAAACAGTGAACAATCAAATTTGTAATCCATGGCATGATTGGAAAAGGGATTAGGAAGTTAGAGAACAGGCTGAAACGTGGTCCGCAGTTCTCAGTGGTGGCCGGAGGTCAGCCTTCACTAGTGAATTGGGCTAGTTCATGGCCCAGGCTCATTTTAATCTTTTCCCTTCCACTTCTCCCTGTGAATTTACCCACCAGGAAAACAGCACAGCCTGTCACCTAGGTAACTGACCCCTCCCCCGCCCCCCCAGACTGGTAGAGATTGGAAACGGAACCCTTTCTCATTGCAAATTTGCATTTGCAGCTGGTGACCTTGCAGGAGGACAGAAAGCTAATCTGATCCCACTGATGATGAGGGTGCCGGCCCTGCCCCATGCACCCGCTACGCTGAGAACGCAGCAGACAGCATCTGCTCCTGTGAGGAGCCTGTTTAAGCTGTTACATGCCTGTTTCCTCCAGTAAGGAGGCTGGGAGTGTTTTGATTTGAAAATGATAAAGAAAATGCTCTCTGGACGTCCATCTTGTGCAAGGTCCTGAGGTTTCTCACTTTGACCATTGTTTCTTTCTACCATGTTTCCAAAGAGCCTGCAGGTTAGAGTGGCTGAGATGAGGACAAAGATGTGAGTTCCCAGTTTAGTTATGTTAATTACAATAAAAAATTAAGAAGGGGGAGGTGAGAGAGTGTGCCTGGACAATGGGGACCCCAGCATTTGCCAGCAGGCTAAGTCTTTATGCTGAGGCTTTGGCTACAGCCGCTCCTTTCTTTGCCCCATTGTGTGCCAGTAGCTCAGTGACTTCTGAGAGCCGGGCTGTGCTCCAGCTGTATGCAAAGTGTGGAGGTCTGCGGGGTGGGGGCTGTCAGGGAGGGGAGTGTGTGCCAAGTCCTGGAAGGGGAAAGGGACTCAGGAAGGGGCTGCAGTGAGGTGGGAGTTGGGGAAGGCATGCCAACTCAGCTGCTGTCTCCTCTTCATCTAGAGCAGTGGTTCTCAAAGTGGAGTTCCTGGACCACCCACCAGCAGCACCTGAGATCTTGCTTAGAAATGCAAGTTCTCCCCAGACCTGCTGGCTCAGAAACTCTGGGAATGGCCCCAGCTATCAGTGTTTAGACTAACCCTCTGCATGTCACTGATACACACTTAAGTTTGAGAACCACTGCCCTTAGTTCCAAAGAAAAGATTATTTTCAAATTCAGAGGACTGAATAGCTTCAGATGCCACTTCAAAGTAGGAAAACAAAACATAGAGAATAATGCTGGATAAAAGCTTTTCTTCCTAAAATACATGAGAATTGATACATGAGGCAGGGAGGTCACAGTAAGTACACAAATGTTAATTACAACTAGTGAATAAACACTATCTTCCATAATTTGGTCAAACTATTTGAAAAATTATGGCTAATCTGAAAGAGAAAGTGCTACTTTTTAGTTAGAATTTTTCACTTTGAAGTTCCCTGATCTCAATTCTTCTAGGACTCACTGGTGTAACACAGGAAGCTATCTAATAAGTACAAACACAGCGAAATACATCTTCAGGACTTTCTTCCCTCCTGACATGAAAATGATTAAAAACAATAGTCAGAATTCCCAAAGGAGATAACTTCAATATAGTCTTAACTCACAGTGACCGATCAGTCAGCGGTTAATTTGACGTATGGCAAATTATAGTAGTTCACTCACAGCTAAGAAACCTGAGGAAGAAGTATTCTGTTTTTGACTTTGGGGAAATAATAAATGCTAAGCCAATATGTGGTTTACTGTACTCTGGGTAGAAATGTCAGTATTTTGAAATGACTAAACCAGGCACCTTCTTCCCAGAGACTGGCCCCCACCGTGGCGAAGTCAGGGTGTCCCGAACTTGCAGGGCTGTTTCACTGCAGGCTCGGAGTGAGGAGCTGCCATCCGTGTGGAAGGACGGGACTGTCCTTCATGACCTTCCGCTGCCACCTTGTCTCTCAGACCAGAGTGGGTACATCTGGGGTGGTCTGGCCACAGGCCTCACCTTGTCCTTCAGCATACGGCTGTGCTGAGTCCCACACAGAAGGAAGGTGGGGAAGGGCTGAGGGGGAGGGGAGGAAGGAAAGACATTGCCCTGAAGCAAACATGCCTAGACAAGGGCTGAATTAAATGTGATATCTTTGTAAACCCTTCATGCTAGGTTTTAAAAGCCATTGTCTCTGTTGGGATCACAAAAGCTTCCTTTTTCACAAATTGGCACAAAACTGCTCACATGCTATTAAATCCACATATTTGAGCATTTGGATTACGGTTAATGATATGGTTTAGACCCTTGAGATCAAGGTGCAGTTCTGCACATCCATAATTTTTCTGTCACTTTTCCTGTAAAAAGAAAATCTCTGACACAATGGTGGCACTTCTGAGTGTGAAGGAGGAGAAGTGTGACTATTCCCTGGTGTCCTGGGCTCGCAGACCTGCAGATCCTGCCTATCCTACAGAGCACAGGACCCTCCACCTGATTCCCTCACCTACTGATGAATTTTTGGGAAGGAGAAGAAGGTGATTAAGAAACGAGTCTTTACCAAGTATCCAGCGTGTGTCTGCAAATGTGCTCGGCGTCCCCCACACATAGTCCCGTGTGGGATGAAGGCCGAGTGACACCCCCCTGTCACTGCTTCCCATCCAGACCCCTCTCCAGGGAGGCTGGGCTGGCAGCTCCCACCCCTCCCACGCTGACCGGGCCGGGAGCAGAGACTGGGCCAGTTGGATTTTCTCTCCTGGAAGCTCTGGAAGGCAGGTCCTGAGAAAGGAGCCGGTTCTCTGTAGGGAGCAGAGCTGCAATGTCACGAATGGTCATAGTGGAGCCATCACTGCAGCAGACCAAGCCACACGCAAGAAATTACAGGAGACGAGAGAAACCTCGAGTGGGCAGGACACGTAGCTTGTGGAGAGAAGAGCAGGCCAGGAGCTCCGCTGCTGCACAGAGGACGGGGCTCTTGTTTTCTGGAGCAGTGTGGCCACACGCCGCCTCCTGTCTTACAGGCCTGGGGGAGCAGCTGTGGTATGCTTAGTAGAATGATCTTTAACTTAGCGCTAGCTCACGTGGGTGGTGTTCTCGGTGTGAAAGGACAAACAGGTCTGTCTGGAAAGTATCCAGCCTTGCAACATGGAAAATAGAGGCGTTTGTTGAAGATAAAAGATATAAGAAACATTGTACACAGGACAATGACCCCTTAGTCCCCTTCAAAGTAGGCACCGTGGGACCTCAGGCAGTTCTCCCAGCGTCTCTTAACCCAACCATACACAGTCGGCATTCTCAGGTGTTCTGCTTGTCGCAGGCCTTCCAGAACGCGGATCACCTTCAACAGAATCTCCACCATCTTTGAAGCGTTTGTGCCACAGTTTTATTTGGGCTGCTCTCGTTGCATCGTCCCTGAAAACCCTCCGAATCATCCGAATAGCTTCCTCGGAGGAATGTTCAAGTTTGATGCAGACTTGTTGCTCTACTCGCTCATTTTGAATGCCACCCAGTACACATTGTTCACTCAACAGTGTCTAGCGCCCCACTGACTGGGACAGTGAAGTTGTCACTGTTCACGCATGTGCATCCCAGCCCACTCTCCTTGGCTTCCAGGTTACATTTATGTGCAAACTGTACTTGTTATATTAATATTAACAATGGCTAGATATTTTATGGACTGACCTTGTATACTCCAAACCTAATCTAAGGACAGAACCTAATTGTGTATGATATAATTCCCAATCTTCTTTTTTTTTTCTGAGATAGGAGTCTCATTCTGTCACCCAGGCTAGAGTGCAGGGGCATGATCATAGCTCACTGCAACCTTGAACTCTTGGGCTCAAGAGATCTTCCTACTTCAGCCTCCAGAGAAACTGGGGCTACAGTTACATGCCACCAACTCTGGCTAAGTTAAAAAAAAAATGTTTTTTGTAGAGACAGTGTCTCACTATGTTGCTCAGGCTGACCTCAAACTCCTGGCTTCAAGCAATCCTCCCGCCTTGGCCTCCCAAAGTGCTGGCATTACAGGTCCGAGCCACTGCATCCAGCCTCCAATCTTCTTATGGGAAGAAATTAACATTCTTGACTTTAAAAAATTAAAGCAACTTAATGTTAAACTTCAATGGGATTAAGATGTTCTGAGAAACTTGTTATTCACCCACACAGTCAAGCAGGACAAAGATGATCTTTATGTTTTTTTTTTTGAGACAGAGTCTTGCTTTGTTGCCCAGGCTAGAGCGAGTGCCATGGCGTCAGCCTAGCTCACAGCAACCTCAAACTCCTGAGCTCAAGTAATCCTACTGCCTCAGCCTCCCAAGTAGCTGGGACTACAGGCATGAGCTACCATGCCAAGCTAATTTTTTCTAGCTATATTAGTTGGCCAATTAATTTCTTTATATTTATAGTAGAGATGGGGTCTCGCTCTTGCTCAGGCTGTTTTCGAACTCCTGACCTCGAGCAATCTGCCCTCCTCCACCTCCCAGAGTGCTAGGATTATAGGCGTGAGCCACCACACCCGGCCCAAAGATGGTCTTTAATCAAACATCCTTTTTGGCTGGACACGGTGGCTCACACCTGTAATCCTAGCACTCTGGGAGGCTGAGGCAGGATTGCTTGAGGTTAGGCATTCGAAACCAGCCTGAGCAAGAGTGAGACCTTGTCTCTACTAAAAATAGAAAGAAAATTAATTGGCCAACTAAGATACATAGAAAAAATTAGCCATGCATGGTGGCACATGCCTGTAGTCCCAGCTACTCAGAAGGCTGAGGCAGAAGCATTGATTGAGCCTAGGAGTTTGAGGTTGCTGTGAGCTAGGCTGACACCATGGCACTCTAGCCCAGGCAACAGAGTCTCAAAAAAAATAATAATAATAAAAAAATCCTTTTCTGATTGTATCTGGTTGCGAGATTATCATCTAATAACCTTTTTTCTTTTCCTGTAAAATGTTCCTGCCAAGAGGAAATTGCATTATTCTATTAGGGACCTTTTCCTTTGAATGTAAATTATATTAATTTCATACATAAATGGTCGGAAAGAGCTGGGCATGGTGGCACACACCTGTAGTCCCAGATACTTGGGAGAATGAGGCAGAAGGATCGCTGCGGCCAGGCGTTAGGGGCTACAGTGTGCTCTGAACAGCAGGGATGAAAAAAACATGATACTTACCTTTATGGGGCTCATAATCTTGTATAGAAAATGTCATGAGAAAGAAAAGCTGCTCCTGTCTCCAGAGCTGCCCCTGCTGTCACACAGCCCTGTGTTCCTAGGATCCGGCCTGGTCTTCCGAGCTAGGCCCTGTGTTCTCCTGTGCAGTGTGAGCCACATCACAGAACCTCGACATTGCACAAGGTCACTGTGGGACCATGACAGATCAAGGCAAAAATAAGACCATAATCTTTATGTTGTGCAGTACCACTCCTAAATGCAAAAATATGAGCTTTAGCTCACATGCCAGATCACAGATATCACGCAATTTGTATTTCGAGTCTCATACATTTATGGGTATTATATTTTGTTCTTACTAGAACAGTGGGAACACTGCCCCAAACTAACTCAGCTATTTTTGTTTTGCTTCTTGATATTTGTACATTTTACAAACATTCTCTTCCTCCAGCTTACCAAGGAGTTAGGAAGAAACTGAAAGGAAAAGGAACTCTGGGGTTGGCTAACACAGGGACATAACAGCACTAAGAAAGGATCTGAAAGGGTTCCTTGGCTATCTGTGTATCTTCCAACACCACTTCCTTCTTTTTGCGTTCAAAGCCCGTTCTGCAGTCATTCGAGTTGAGCCTCACTGAACTCCATGCACCGTGGTCCACTGGGATGTGGTGCACAGGGGCCACCAGGTGGCTAGGGACAACAGACACGCACCTTGCATGCATCTGCTGTGTTCGACCACAGGCTCCATTATCCCAGTGGACTTTTCTTTAAAAAACACACGTTCAGCGATAAATGCATTAAGAATTTCAAGTTCGATGCAATAGCAGAGCATTAAACCAAGGGTAAAGCCCTTCTGAGCCCGGATCCTGTGGGAATGCACAGGCTGTGTGCCAGGTGGCCAGCCCAGCAGCACGGACGTGCATGACAAGGGTGCAGGGGAGACCAGTACGAGACCAGTACGGGGTCCACGCTGCAGACTTCTTCCTAGAGAGAGAGCACAGAGCTGAGAGCTCGGGTTCCCGGGCAGACCTAGCATCGCCAACCATGTTCCTTAGATAGATAAGTTAGCTACTGTCTTTGTGCCTCAGCTTTCTTGTTTGTGAAATGGGGACAGTAATGGCACCTAACTCATGAGGTTGCAAGGATTAAATTTTAATACAGATAAACGTTTAGAATCACACGACTTGGCATCGGGCAAAACCTGAGCAAAGCTTGGCTATTGCTGGTGGAGAGGAGCGAATGAGGCTACCATCGCGCCGCGACGCCAGCTCCTCTGAGCTGTGCCCACCAGCCAGCTTCTCCACCCTAATGTCACTTCCTCTACAAATCTGCTCACAGGCAAAGATGTGCGTGGTAGCTCCGTTTCTCATTGGAAAATACACAGGTGCTCTGGTCTGCAGATGTCAAAGACAGGAACAAAAACCTGCAAGGGAATAATTAGGCCCAGCAGGGATCTCTGGTGGGATAATGGATCCTACAGTGGAGTCAGCAGATACTGTTCTCTCAGCTCTGCAGAAACCAGGACACAAGGAAATTCGTCATTCACCAAACACCAGCACTGTGACGCGCCGGGCCAGGCCTGGAACTCGGGAGTGCTGCGGTGGTGCACACGCACCCAGCCCACTCTGCTGACCGGCAGCCACCAGGGCCCTGGGGCTGTTTCCTAGGGATGTGACGGGCCAACCTCACAAGACCACAGCGGAGAGAGGTGGGAGCGAGGGGGCGGCTGGGAGAGAAGAGGCACGGCCATCAGAGACACCCGTGGACGTCTTGCTCTTCACGAAAGTCAACGCCAGGCATCTGCTCTCTGGGTTGTCAAAGCCAGCATGATAGTGAAAACAAAGTCTTACATTTATCAGGAATCGGAGGCCTTTGGGAGTACATGGAGTCCACAGGAGGGATGAGTTCTGCTTGAACTAATTCTATTCAAGTTACAAATTGAAAAGGTATGGAAGCATTTTTTTTAAATAAAAATTTGAACAGGGCCATTGTGTGTGGAGTAGCACATTCCCCACACGTGCCACAGGGAATGTGCTACTCCACAGGGCTGGCCTTGAGCTCCTGAGTTAACTAGTTGTCTTTAGACCCCTCTAGAAGTTTAACTTTGACTCCGGTGGAATGTTACTTGAGAGAAGCAAAAGAGGAAGCAGTTATCTTCTTTGAGACTTTGGGAAAACAAAATCCATTAAAGCTGGAGGAAAACTGCTTGTGATTTTTCAACTTCCACCCCACAACAGTACTGTGTTTGACCAGTGTTCCTTTGTGCTATGTGGGGAAATACACAGGGGACAACTGTCATCTGCCCAAGAAGGTGCTTGTGTTGTACTTAGGTGCTATAGGGTGAATAAGAAGCATGACCTTGATCCATGCTCCAAAATTTATCTCAGTCTCAGACAGTGATCTGAGCACAGACGGTGTGATTGGATCAAATGCTGATTTGATAAGAGAAAGGTTTTAGGAGAAAACCTTTTTTTAAATTTTTCTTTTTTTGGATACAAGGTCTTGTTCTCTTGCCTAGGCTAGAGTGCAATGGCACGATTATAGCTCACAGCAACCTCAAACTCCTGGGCTCAAGTGATCCTCTTACCTCAGCTTCCCAAGTAGCTGGAACTACAGGTGCGTACCACCATACCTGGGTAATTTTTCTACTTTTTTTGTAGAGATGGGGTCTCGCTATGTTGTTCAGGCTGGTCTGGAACTCCTGGACTCAAGTGATCCTCCTGCCTTGACTTCCCAAAGTGCTGTGATTATAGGCATGAGTCACCTTGCCCGGCCTAGAATGCCCTTGATGATAATAATAATAGCATTACAGATGCAAAACTCACGTCTTCAGAGTGCATGGTGTTCTGATGATTATGCATGTGTGGGTGGGGGGGGAGCTGACTTAGGTTATTAAGTCACAGACTTAAACATTTTCAGCTGCTTATCTCTCATGGCTGCTTTTCCACATCAGTGAGCAAGGAGAGACTTGCCACAATCCCATCTTCCCCCGTTGTCTTTTCTGGAGGCTGTTGAGCTCTCCCTGGAGCTGTGTTCTGTCCAAGGCTTGGTTAGGGGGAAGGACAGCCAAGAGCATGCCCTGAAACCCTGACGGAAAGACGGAAAAGTACTTCTAGAGGACAGAGGAGCAGGCAGGTGCTTAGAGAAGCCTTCTCTGCACTCCTTTCTGCTCCTTTAAGTTGATCCTGGGTTCTGAATGTTCACCTTTGTCCTTGTCTTTCTCCCTCCCCAAAGACTTTCAAACCCTCAATTCAGTGAGTGTATTTTCACTGAGCATCTACTACATGCCAGGCATGGCCAACACCCATCTCCCTCTCCCTGCCCCTTCCTCAGCTGCTCAGATCTACCCTGCACACTCACCCACACTTAAGGCCCCAGGCGATGACCGACTAGGAATGTGCTGGCACTGCACGCTCGGCCAGTGTCACAGCGCGGGGAGGGAAGATGTCTAACCAGGGCTCAAGTGCCATAGGAATCACGACAGTTCCATATTTATCCTGCACAAACAGTGTGTACAAATTTCAGGATAAGTCTGAAAGCTGCACTGCCAGTTGCTAAAAAAATTACTTGAATAAAAGAAATATATGTATCTATTTATTTTGCCATGCAAAAGCATAAGTATTCCTCTCCAAATATGTCAACCTGAATGTTTACTTTTTTACTTTTTAAAATTAAGGACAAAGAATATTCTGCATCAATTGCTATTAAGTAAACTGCAAATTTCAAATGAGGGAGGAAATAGAAAAAAGACACATATATATTTTTTGCCCCTAATTCACAATGTTCTTGTAAACTTTGTTGCTATTTTAGACAGCTTGTGAATGGAATGATATATAAGCATCTTGATAATAGTAAATTTTGTCGGGAACTAACTAAAAGGCTAACTTGAGCATATAGAATGCCTAACTTTTTTGTGATGTAAGAAATGCAGCCTTTTATATATTATAATAGAACTAAGCAGCAGATGTTCTTTGCCGACTTAAGAATTGAGATCCGAGGTCTCCGAGGTCGGGCGCGGTGGCTCATGCCTGTAATCTCAGCACTCTAGGGGACCAAGGTGGGAGGATCACCAGAGGTCAGGAGTTCAAGACCAGTCTGAGTGTGAAACAGGAATGAGAGCAGGAGTGACTCCATGACAGGCTGCACTTCCTGGAGTAGGCCTAAGTTTCGGTTTCCCAACTTCCCGAAGTGACACCAACAACACCCTTCCCTGAAATGACCTTTGCGGCTTTTGAAGGAGCCAATCAGGAGCCGACAGGATCAGCCACTTTTAAAGGAACCAATGGACTAAGGGGGAGGGGGGAAGGTGTACACAGCGTGTATAACTTGCAGAAAAGTATAAAAGCTTGACTTACACCCCAGGGCGGGGTCCTGGTTCGTAGGGAGGCCGCTGCGTTGGTGCTGGGACCTGGACCCGAGCTCGAGCTAGCCAATAAACTCCTCTGTGCTTTGCAGCCTCAGCGATTCTGCCTCTCTGTTCCTGGGGCCGAAGGAAACCGGCTCTAACATGAGCAAGAGCGAGACCCTATCTCTACAGAAAATAGAAAAATTAGCCAGGCGTGGTGGTGTACACCTGTAATCCTAGCTACTCGGGAGGCTGAGGCAGGAGGATCCCTTGAACCCAGGAGTTGCAGGTTGCAGTGAGCTATGATGATGCACTCTAGTCCGAGCCACAGAGCGACACCCTGCCTCAAAAAAGAAGGGAGAGGCCGGGCGCAGTAGCTCACGCCTGTAATCCTAGCACTCTGGGAGGATCGCTCAAGGTCAGCAGTTTGAAACCAGCCTGAGCAAGGGCCAGAGCCAGTCTCTACTAAAAATAGAAAGAAGTTAATTGGGAGGTAGGGGAAGAGGACGAGGAGGAGGAGGGCTGTCGTCCCGGGTTAGGTTGAGGTGGGGTGTCGGTCCATTCAGGGCGGGGATGACTCACGGCCCATCCCATCTCCCCGACTCCGCCCACCTGCGCAGAACTAGTTCCATGGCTTAGCGGGGAGGAGGTGGTGGCGACGGGGGAGGGTGGGGGGTTGGGGGGGAGGGGACTCTTATTTTGTTAGGGGGGCCGGGCGGAGGTCTGACCGGCCTGGGAGGGCTCTCTTGGGGCCGGGAGTCATGTCTCATGCGGCGAGCCAGCTGGGAACGGGGTAGAGGCAAGCGCGGGCCGCGTCCGTGCTGTTGGAGGAGCGCAGGCCGGCCGACTCGCCCAGCTGCTCAGCCTGAACTCTTTGCTTCCGGAATCTGGGACTGTTGCTGATATGGAATTAGAAAACGTCCTTGATCCTGACAGCTTCTACGAGCTCAAAAGCCAACCCCTACCCCTACACTCAAGGGGGCTCCAGGCCCCCTGCCATGTCGTCGTCTTCATCGAGGGTCTTGCTGCGGCAGCAGCTCACGCACCCAGGCGCAGGCGCAGGAGGCGGGAGCGTGGGGAACAGGCTGCAGCGGCTTCCTTGCCCAGGCCTGCACCTGCCTCTCCTGCCATCTCTGTAGTTGGTGTCTCTGCTGGGGGCCACACATTGGGCCGTCCACCACCTGCTCAGGTGCCCAGGGAGGTGCTAACGGTGCAGACCCACCTGGAGAACCCAACGCGCTCCCACCCACAGCAGGCGCGCCGGCAGCGGGTGAAACAGTACCTGCCCACCACACTTGGGCCCAAGCTGGCTTCTCAGGCCCTCACCCCACCGCCAGGGCCGGCGAGTGCCAGCCGCTGCCTGCCCCACAGGGAGTGCTCCCAACAGCCCCTGGCACTGCTCACCACCGGGCGGGTCCATTTCAGAGAAGCTTGATGATGTCATTGATGAGATCGTCAGCCTGGAGTCCAGTGACAATGATGAGATGCTCAGCTGACTGCCCGGAGGCACTGCAGGGCTGCAGCGGGCCAGCACACTCCCTGTGTCGGCTCGTCTGCTTGATGTGTGCAGTAGTCGGGTGTGGCCACGCCAGCCATCCCCGTCAGTAACTCCTGCCCAGCTGAGCTGCCCAACGTCAAACGAGAGATCTCTGAGACCGAGGCAAAGGCCCTTTTGAAGGAACGACAGAAGAAAGACAATCACAACCTGATTGTCGCAGGCGACGCAACATTAACGATAGGATCAAGGGGCCGGGCACTCTCACCCAAGTCCAGACCTGGAGATGCACTGGAACAAAGGCACCATCCTGAAGGCCTCTGCGGATTATGTTCGCACGTTGCAGAAGGAGCACCAGGCTCCAAAGACGCGGAGAGCGGGCACCGATCCCCGGAGCAGGCCAACCGCAGCCTGCAGCTCCCAATTCAGGAGCTAGAACTGCAGGCCCAGATTCGTGGTCTGCCGGTACCTCCCAGCCCAGGGCTGCTCTCCCTGGCCATGACTTCAGCCTCTGACAGCCTCAAGCCAGAGCGGCTGGACACTGGGGAGGAGGGCGGGCCGGGCACAGCAACGTGTCATGTAGCGGGGGACCTGCCCAGAATGCTCCCCATCTGCAGCCCCCAGCGCCACCCTCAGATGCCCCTCTGGACCTGCACTTTCCCAGCGACCACCTGGGGGACCTGGGGGACCCCTTCCACCTGGGGCTGGAGGACATTCTGGTGGAGGAGGAGGGGGCGGTGGGAGGACTGTCGGGGGTGCCCTATCCCCGCTGCGGGCTGCCCCTGACCCCCTGCTTTCTTCAGTGTCCCTGGCTGTCTCCAAGGCAGCTTCAGCGTGGAGGAGGAGTCCTGATCAGGCCTCACCCCTCCCCTGGGGCTTCCCACCCAGGAAAGGAGGACCAGTCAGGATGAGGCCCTGCCTTTTTCCCCACCCTCCCAGGAGACCTCCGCCCAGGTATTCCGGGGGAAGAGGAGATGTGATCAGGCCCCACCCTGTAATCATGCAAGGAGGAGGAGTCACATGAGGCCTGCCACTTCCCTAAAGGAACAGCCCGGTGCAGGTATTTCAGAGGGAGAAGGCTGCAGGTGATGAGATCAGGGCCTGTCCCCTGGGGATCACAGCCTCACCCCTCCCCCTGGGGGACCCATCCTTGCCCAGGTGAGGGAAGGAGACTGGATGGGGCCCCATCCCTGTCCCCTAGGGACTGTCCTAGCCAGGTCTCCTAGGAAAAGGAGATATCAGGATAATAATGCTCCATCCCTTTTCTTGGAACTACCAGTCTGGTCCATCTTGGCACAGAAGAGGAATCAAATGATAGAGGTTCTAGCCTTGGGGGTTTCACCCCTGCCCCTTCCCTATGAGCCTGCTGTGCCCAGGCTAGGAGCGGAAGTGAGGAGAGGACTCCTCCTCCACGCTGAAGCTGCTGCTGCGGCTGCTAGCCTTGGAGACAGCCAGGGACACTGAAGAAAGCACGGGGTCCCACAGTCCTCCCACTGCCCCCTCCTCCCCCATCCCTCCAAGGACAGCCCAGCACAGGTATTTCAGGTGTGGAGGAGTCAGTAGGACCAGGCCACTCGGTGTGGAGATCACAGCCCTGCCCTTGTCCCTTAGCAATATCCCATCCAAGCATTCCATACTGCAGGGAGGAGTGGTACTTAAGCTCCCCTACCTTAACCTGGGACCAACCTGGTCAAAGCTTACTAGGGCTCTGAGACAACCTTGCTCTTGGAGAAGGTGGTGGATCTTGAAATCTTATGGATTGACTTTCCAGACCTAGCTCTGGAGTGAGAGTTGGGCCCCCATCCCTGGGCAGTCTTGCCTTCTTCCTTGAGGGGCAGTTTGGGGAAGAGATGGGGATCAGCGAGCACCGAGTCCGGGTTCCCAGTGTTGCTTTTCAACATGTAGAGGAACGAGATGAAGGGAGGGGCCATTCCTGGGAGTTCCTCAGCCCGGGAATCAGTGGAAGCCTCTCCCACCAAGGCAGAGGCTTGGAGGAGGGTTGCAAAAGCACATGGTACCCTCTTGTTGTTTATCTGGATTTTTTATTGACCTCCCTACTCAGAAGCTCGGTCACCCCAACCTCTGGCCCCCACCCAGTTCTCCATTTGGAGGTATCTCCCCACTTCAGAGTTATCAAGAGACACTCCCTGCCCATTCTCACCCCTTCTACCAGCTACACCCAAGGTTGTCAGTTTTGGATTGCTGGGGCCAGGCCCCAAGTAGGGTGTGCTGAGGGGCCTGTAGGTTTGTGATTAAAATAATAAACGCTAAGCGTGTTTGGTGTGCTTTTAACTTTGAAAAAAAAAAAAAGAAAGAAACTAATTGGCCAACTAATATATATAGAAAAAATTAGCCGGGCATGGTGGCGCATGCCTGTAGTCCCAGCTACTCGGGAGGCTGAGGCAGGAGGATTGTTGAGCCCAGGAGTTTGAGGTTGCTGTGAGCTAGGCTGACACCACGGCACTCACTCTAGCCTGGGCAACAAAGCGAGACTCTGTCTCAAAAAAAAATATATATTTTTTAAGATCTTAACTCTGAAGTTCAGCAGCTTTGGAGGAATAAGGGCAAATATATTTGTTATGGACCAGCTTACGCTGAAATCTACCAGAGTTGATGTTTACTTTGTGTAGATCCATTTGTCTGTTTCATTTATTCTTCCTAATGAAAAGTATATTTTTATAATAGCTTTTTATTACAACAGCTTTTGATTTTATAAATACACTATGAGTTATCAAAATATCATGGATATTGTTTATTCCTAAAACGTGCAATTTAAATGTACATATAACATTACTTATGTTAAAAATACCCACTGCTCAGTGTTGAAAGATAGACAAAAAGGTGTAGGAGAAAGCTGAAGAATACACATTTTTAAGTGAGTACATTTTGCTATGAATCAGAAAATCTGATAGAAACTTGATCATGTCTGTGCAAACTGAGCGTCTAAAATGTGCAATTTAAATGTACATATAACATTACTTATGTTAAAAATACCCACTGCTCAGTTTTTTGTTTTTTTGTTTTTTTGTTTTTTTTTTTGAGACAGAGTCTCGCTTTGTTGCCCAGGCTAGAGTGAGTGCCGTGGCGTCAGCCTAGCTCACAGCAACCTCAAACTCCTGGGCTCAAGCAATCCTCCTGCCTCAGCCTCCCAAGTAGCTGGGACTACAGGCATTCGCCACCATGCCTGGCTAATTTTTTGTACATATATTAGTTGGCCAATTAATTTCTTTCTATTTATAGTAGAGACGGGGTCTCGCTCTTGCTCAAGCTGGTTTCGAACTCCTGACCTCGAGCAATCCGCCCGCCTCGGCCTCCCAGAGAGCTAGGATTACAGGCGTGAGCCACCGCGCCCGGCCTTACTGCTCAGTTTTGAAAGATAGACAAAAAGGTGTAGGAGAAAGCTGAAGAATGCACATTCTTTAAGCGAGTACATTTTGCTATGAATCAGAAAATCTGATAGAAACTTGATCATGTCTGTGCAAACTGAGCGTTAAAATCTTTGAGTGGCAAGAAAAAAGAATCGAGATACTCAAGCATAGCTCTGTCCCTAGGGAGTAAATACTGCCCTTCAAACGTCCTTCTCTGGGACCAGACTGACCTCAGCCGAAATCACAAGGACTTTGGTTGACCTATCCCCTCGCGTGCAGAGCAAGTCTGGACAGCCTGCAGCTCTGTGTGGTGTCCCTTACCCACCAGCAACATGGCGATAATAGCAAAAAAGTACTCACCGCAGAGT